TGGGAATGGATAATTTTATGAAATTGTAATTTGATCTCATCTTCTTATTAAATGCCAATGTTTTATAACAGCCTTTTTAAAGCTTGGACCATTTTCAAATGGTCATTTTACTGGTTAAATATTAAAGCTGAATTTCTGTTTTATTCATTGGTGGATAATTTGACAGATTTTTTCTCTCAGTTGTGTTTTAATAATGTGGTCTGTTCTTTTGTCGATGGTCAATATTATTTCAACCATGTGTTTTTTGACTGCTTTTTTATTTTGTTAAAAAAAAACTTGTGATGTCCTCACCACACATTTATTTATTAAGAAATAAATGTGTGGTTAAAATCCAATCGTTCTTTCTTTCAATTCAATTAAATTCTATTCAATTTCAACAGTTGCCTCGAGGTGCTTTAATTTGAAAAGTATTGTAAAGTAAAGACTGTACAATAATAGGTTAATAATAATATCATGATGTCAGTGAGAGCAGCAGCCCCAGTTACCAGTTTCTGAAGTATTTTGTCAGTAAATTAGCTAAAAGGTAGATATAGGACACCAATACAGTTGGTTTCAAACAGTTGATGAACATGGGGGCACATTTACACTACATTATCTACTTTACTTAAAAGGAGGAGACATGGTCAGTGATGCCTGGCTGTATAATTATGAACCTACAAATGCATGTACTTTCCTTTTCTTACAATGCATACCTTCTAATGCGGGAAGTTGATTGTAGCATATTCCAGAGGGATTTCTGCATGTCTTCATGCATGATCTTCCACAAGGCTTATAGTGCCATTCACACTGTCCATCAGGGTTGTAATAATCACAGAATACAGCTAATAAAACAAAAGTAATAAATCATAAATAATAATGAACTCGATTTTACATTAAACCTTATTTGTAAACTTAGCTCATGCTGACAGTTATTATTATACTTTGCATTTTATATGTATCTTGTCACAGAAAAATAAAAAAATGCTCACGGCAGATGGTGGGAGTTCTCCATTTCACGCACACTCCTGCCTCATTACAGGCTGCTGCATAAGCTGCTACATCTGAACAGAAACACTCACAATCTCCTCCTGAATTACAGGCACACGTGTCTCTCACACAGGCATCAAAATATTGTTGGGGATCCACCTTTTTGGAATAAGTAATTGTAAATGTAAGTAAAGAGTGACTTTGGTCCATTATAGCCTAAACGTTTACTTACATTCATAAGCACTTACCCTTGAATGGCAGGCCTTAAATACTGCACTCTTGATAATGCTGCAGTGCTTCACTGCCCATGCCTGTCTGTGTGAGTACAGTGTACATGCATCATTTGTAGTTTGTGCACTTGAGCAGCTAGGTGACACTTGCCAGCTGTTTCCGAATATAAGGGGATCAACCACAACTTCTTTATTTCTGGTAGTGAAATCATTCTTGATATTTCCATCAAAATTTCCACACAGACCGCAGACTTTGCCCTAAGAAAAGAACAAGTTTGTTTATCTCTCTCTCTCTCTCTCTCTCTCTCTCTCTCTATCTATCTATCTATCTATCTATCTATCTATATATGTGTATGTGTGTGTGTGTGTGTGTGTGCTCACAGACCTTGAATGTAGATCTGAGTTTTATCATGAGGGTTGTCTTTTTATCCCAAATGACCATAAGGCCATTCTTCGCTTCAATGACGAGATATAAACCCAAAGTGTGGACTTGATAGGGTATTTCTTCCCCACTGTTTTTTTTAATAACTTTGATATGTTCATCTGAGAGACGAATTTCACTGTTCTGTTAAAAACAAAACATGCTAATTGGGAATTGTGAAAAACGATTTGACCATTTAGGAACATTAATACGTATGGATTTGCAACAATTGTAGACCAGGTTACAGTACCCAGCAAAAGGTTAATATTTAATTTTTTGCCATGCTTAATTTTCAAAAATAGAACAGGGCTCATATTGAAACACACAGTCCAACTCACTATATTAACGACAACACTGTGTACCCTGTTTCTTTTTCAAAAAACCCATTTTGCTCATATAGTGATAATAATAATGAGGTAATGCATAATTATTAATTATTAAGGTATCTATCTTTTAAAAAAACAACTTGTAAATGCAATTTCTGTTACATACCCCTAAATAGAGCGTGATGTCAAAGGAGCAGATGCTTTCAGCATTTTTGCAGGGGATGCTCTCAGTCAGTACCTGAAAGGTGCCGTTCTCACCTCCACAGGAATCCTGCAGGATTCTCATGTCAGTATCACAGGACTGATTTTAACAGGTCATAAAGATTAAACATAAGTGCAGACTGTACCTGGGTGAAGATGTAGCTACAGCCTCCACTAAAGGCAAATCTTGATTCATCAAAAGTGATGTAATTCCCTGCTCCATAAATGGTACAGGTTCCACCACATTCTTGACCTGTACATTCCCATATGCTGCTTTTGCATGTGCTTAGATTTGAAAAAGGAAGTTAAATCTTGTTAAATAACTATTCCCAAAGCCCCCCCCCCCAAAAAAAAAAAAAAGTTCCAGTGATGTGAAAAACATGCTTGGGGACACCAGAGTTTGAGTATTATTTAGTGTGTTTTTAAAATATACTCTTTATTTAAACAGGGTTGATGGATGGGTAAATAACAGGAAATTGTTAGAAAAAACCCCAAGAAAAACAAAAAAAGCTCTCACCATGTATTGCAGTCCACTTTAACAGATTGTCCATGCTTATAGTGTTGTCCATTATATGGGCAGGGGCAGTCCTCCTGCTTTACACAGCCTCCATTATTATCTGATAGCAGGCCATCAGGGCATACACATCCTGAGATACATTGTGTGCTGATCTGTGCAGGATAACAGAAACATATTTCATCAATATGCTTAATAACTGATTATGCTGTTGTAATGTCCATGTGTGGCAGTTATGAATCAGCTTCTCAGTCTTACACATTGTTTGTTCAGTGTCTGGCAGCTTTTTTGGCACTCAGATCCCTTTTCTCCCGGCTTTGCATTTGAGCAGTTGAGGAAAACCATTGGGCTTGTGCATGCTGAGAACAATGACAGTGTCTTTAAAAGGACACAACTGTATGGTTGTATTTACTTTTACTTTGCTTTTCAGTAGAAATAACCATTTAACGTACAGAGTACTTTGTACCTACTTTGAATCTCTTGTTTTCCTGAACAGGTTAATTCTCCACCATGGCAAGAGCTGAAACATAAATGAAGATAGGCAAGACAAAGAAAAGAGATGCATTGTATCAGTTCAATAAAATAACAAGGTATCAATTGCAGCTGTGTGTATTCAGGTTAAACATTCCTGGGACAACTTCACTTGGTGATACTTGGGCATGTCACAAGCTGAACCACATCAGTGAAGCAATAAAGTTCTTTGATATAATGAAACTTGAATTTTTCCAGAATCTTAACTTCTTTGCACATTTGCATAGGCCCTGAGAGTTAAGTGAGTCCACTTGCTGAATGAAATGAGTTATTTGTTTTGTAACAGGGTTAAAAAGCAAAGAAGCCAAACACGCATGCCCTGCCCCTGCCTAAAAATAGTAATCAAATAAAACTACCAAAGTGAAAGCAATTTCTCTTTCATTTCATCTCAAACAATGTTCTTTTTTTAACTTTTCTTATTTATTTGCACTCGTCCTTTAAATTACTGCCATCTTTTGTTGACAAGTGTGTCTAGCATGCTTGTTTTGATTCACATTGGACTGTGTGGCATGTCTCCATTTTCTGAGCGTGTCCATGTCCACTTCACAGTGGCTTCAGTTTGTTACTTAATGTATAATTTGCCAGTAATACAGTTTTATTTTACATCTCACAATAATATCAATAATTATAAAGCTGGACTATTTGACAAGAATATTTGAAATGGTGCACAATGGTGTTTTTAGGACCCCCAAGGCTAACTACTGTAAAGCAAAAAACTTTATTTTATTTATTGTATTTAATTGACTTTGCTTCACCCTATCAAAACCCACACGTTTGCATTGCTATGGCCCAATGTCAACTTGAAACGATGTTACATCCAACTGGATTCAATGGTTACTAGCAAAGTTCCTTCTAAGAGTGTGTGCAATCGCACACTGCTGGCACGGTCTCCGCACACAGAAAATCTGTGTTGCGCACCAAAAAAATCTAACCTGAATTGGAATTAAAACAATTTATTCTGTTTTGCAGTGTGAGTCAGTAAGTGGCTGCTCCAGCCAATGATGTGAGCAAAAACAAAACTAACCCCGCCCCATCCTTTCCTATTGGTGGACAAATGTACCATGTTGACCAATCTAAAAATGTTTGCAGCATGACATTTAGATGTTTAGGAAGGGGGGGAGTTTTAGGAGTGACGGCGGGGTTTGGAGATGTGAGAGATTTACGATGTTTAGTGTGTTTGGAGTCTGAAGTTAATGTGTTGTGTAGTTAGTGTGTAGTGTAGTCATTAGTTTTGTTGTGTGTGTCAGAACAATGAGGCGACTGCTGAATGTTACAGGTGTTACAGGAGTGATACATCTCCTGTTGCCAGGTCTGCAGGCTTGTGATGTTCACCTTTATCTCATAGTGGACATCAAATTTGATGCAGAACAGCTGATTGTTCTGTAAATAGTTTGAAATGGTTTTTTTTAAACGCCTTGGCTGCATTTTTAGGTAAACAGCTACAAAAAATTTAGTTGTTTGCAAAACTCTTTTTTTTTTGAAGAAGTAACTATATAATTAATTGCCCAACATTTGTCATCATATACTGTATTTTACAGACAGAGAGTTACAAGACTCTCTCCCAGACCACAGACTCATACTCATCATACAGTCAGAGCTTTATTTTAAAAAAATAAAATAAATTTGTGTTTTCAAAATTGGAGTTCAAGTTATTTTTACTTCCAATAGTGTTAACATACTATACAGGTCTTGAACAAGATTTTTTAAATTTTCATTGTAAGTGGGCTAAAGCACTTAATTAAAAGTAGTCTAACATAAATGTAAATGCTGTAATTTTATTATTTTAATAAACCATGTAACTTGGATGGATTCAATGCTGTGCACACGTCTAATGTTGCATACGGTGGTCCAAGGGACCGCTCAGAGAGTTTGTGTGTTTGCTCAGACACATAAAAAATTAGAAGGAACATTGGTTACTAGTACCTGGTTTCAAAGTATCAAATATCTTGCCCCATAAAAAATGGACATGGAAAAAAATTTCCAGACAAAAAATAGAAATGTAACAAGTTTACAGTTTTTGTCTCATATATTGGCCACAATTTCACTCCACTTTAGGCAGACTTTTGTAGGGCAAAGTACAACCAACCAATCGCATACTCTTCTACAAGTATAAAGGCACCAAAAAAAAACATCTTGGCAAGCACAAGTGCAGTACTTCACAGCATACTAAATTATTGGTGTTTTCTCTTCCCTTGTTCTTATCTACTTTATGTTAACCATCAAACATCATCAAAACACAAAATAAATAAATAACTAAATTAATGAATTAATAAAAATACAGAATACATGGAAAAACATACCAAATCTGTCCATTACTGAGTGTAGTAACCTGCCCGGGATGCACCACTGTGTCTCCAGCGTAACAGGAACATTGTGAGGGTAACACACACTCGTTCTTTTCATTTAGATAAGTTCCTTCAGCACAGCCACAGCCATCAAGCTTAGTAAAATCAACCCCACATGTTAAATCTGACTGACTAAGAGAGCGACAGGTGCGACCGCAGCTTGTCATTTTGTAGTCATACACAAAAGTAGGTGGGCAGTCATTTGTGTATTTCTCTGTTGGAAGAAAAAAGGACCCTTTACAGTTTAAACAGAGACAGATATGATTTATTGTAGTAGATAATTTCATTTAAACTTACGGCATGTGTTGTTCCTCCATCCAGTCAATAATACGCCTTCAATAGCACATGCATGAACATAGGCGGATAAAGCAGCACACAAGCAATCCTCACTTTTTTCACAGGCACAGGTGTCATAAATACAATTCTGCGAAGAGAAACAGCAAAAAGCTTAATCATCAGTTAAAGCTAATAAATAATTAAAATAAAAACATACACTTGATTACAAAAAAGAAGAAATCCCTGCTTACAAGTTGATACTCTACTGGGTGTACCACAGGATGGCACAGTGAAAAAACACCTTTTGGGTCTGACAGCTGGGAGCACCAGTGTTTGGCATATTTCTCTACAGAAAGAAACAGGTTTACTTAAGAAGTGATAGGCCATCAACAAAACATAGAGCATGATGACTGTGACCTACCTTTTTCTGTACTCATACTACAGGGGTCCCCGAGTATATTTGTCACATCAGGGCAGTTTGGCTTGGTTTTCCATGTGTTGGCAAATGTCCAAGCTGTTTTTTCAATTATACCGCAGGTTGTTTTGAAGTCCTGTGATCCATCGTTATCAAAATCTCCACACAGACCTGGATAAAGATGATCATGGTGTAACATAACAATCTTCACACTTTAAACTTAATCCCAAAACCAATCAAAATCCAAACCCACCGAGGAGTTTTCCTTTATTAGATACACTGGCTTTGATGTAGACCTGCATAACAGGTATGAGCTGAATCTCAACATCAAGCCCGTAGGTGGTTTGGATTACAAGAAAGAATGTAGATGGGTGGAAAATTGTGATATGATCTGTAAAGGGAAATATATTTTATATGTATATATTTTCAAATTAAATGATGAGACTCATTTAAATGTTGGGATTTCATTCACTAAAAGACAAACAAGTGCTCACCCAAAAAGAGAGGAAGTTGAGAGAGCAGTTTGTTGTAAAAGACCTGCCCACTGGCATCAATTTTAACCATCTATAGGACAAAGTATATTACTATATCAGAAAAGCCATCTGAACCATTGGAAAACAAAATAAACTGGATTAAAATATACATATATTTTACCACATGATCTGACAGTAGTAGAGTGATTGAAGCCAGACAAGTTGATTGATCAGATATTTCACATTTAGCCAAGTCGCCTTGAAGGCTGAAAGTCCCTTTGATTTCCTAAAATTGAAAAGTCAAAAATGCACTTACACGTGTAGTTTACATGTATAATACATGTTTGTGAATAATAACAATAAAAATAATATAAAAAAAGAAAGAAAGTTATTTTCTGTTTCACCTCACCTTCGTCAGAACATAAGAACACTCTCCGTGAAACATATACGTTTTATCGTCATAGGTGGTGATGTGAGAGCCACCCAGGATGGAACAAACACCAGGACAGTCTTTAAGATTACAGATCCACTCACCATTTTTGCAGGTGCTGTTAAACAGAGGTCCGTCAGTTCATCTTCATAAACCAGTGTGAATATAGACATGAAGTTATAAATGATACAGTTACCAGCTCTTGCATGGCCCGGAGTAGGATTGCCCCGGTTGGTATATTTCTCCATTATGCAGGCAGCTGCAGCTGTCAACAGTGACGCACCCAGTATGTGTGACATCATCCAAGACAGTCCCTTTGGAAACAGATAGTTTTATGATAATACACAAAATCACCATTAGGTCTGATGGGTATGTCATCGGCACATTTTGAGGCCCCAAATGTTCCTATTTTTTAACATAGATGTCCTCACTTTCCTCACTTTCCCAATGGGCTAAAAAGACCTAAGAAGAATTTTTCTTAGATTTCACTGTGGTAAACGTTGCAACCCAGGATGGCAACATTTGATCAAATATTATCCAATTTAGCTTCACAAATACACTAAAACTAATACATTTAAAGAAGTGATAACCTAAGAATTATAATAGTGAATACATACTAGCCCCAATTTTTTTTAAAAAAGAAAGAATATTATCCTCTAGAAGCTACAAAACTTACCAAATGGACAGAAACATCCATCAACACAGTGTTCACTACACACTTGGTTTGTGCCCTGGTTTTTGCAAGTGTCCATGCAGGGATTACCACATTCCTTATACTCCAGGTTGAAGGGGCATGGTTTTCCTTTTAAGCACACAAAAGTTAGAATTAAAATTAATAAACAAGTAATTGTGATGTTAGCAGTGGCGGTCCTAGCCTGTTTGGCGCTCTGGGCGAACACTCCCTCTGCCCCCCCCACACACACAGACAAAACATATTAAGGATTGTACATTAACATAACACTGTTGTACACACACACATATGAAGAGAGAGAGAGAGAGTATGCATTGTATGCAAACCGCTACCAAACAGCCATCATAATTCGTCATACAATGAGAACAGGAAGAATCAACAATTGACACTGACGAATTAATGTTAAAATCTGTAACATAATGTATTGTTTGGAGTTTAGTCTGTTACTGTTGCTATTTTTTACCATTTCTTCTTGGAGCAACTGTAACCGACATAATTTCCTTAGGGATTAATAAAGTATTCTGATTCTGATTGTTTCAGGATGACCTGCCATTGTCCAATCACACATCTGCTTATCTGTATCTTTTGCTGGTTTCTCCTCCTCTTCTTTTCTCTTTTTTCTAAACTGAGGACCTGATGGCTTTAAACTTTTCTAGTCCATTTCTATTGGTTTTAATTTTGCACTCCAGTATGAACACCCATCCCTCAACCCGAGGATCAGCACAACATAACCTAATAGACCTACACCTTAGTTCACAGATTCACTTTGTCTAGGGTGCATTTCTGAGATTTCACACAACCCAGGATTCAAATCATGAATCCATGATGGGCTTGGATTTACAACATTATAAATGGAATGTGCTCTATTTGGAAGCAGCCCCCTCCCCTTTCGACAGGTTGTGTGTGAGACTTTAAATCATCAAACTGTAAATTTTAAATTGTTATTGATCCCTTTACCTCTTGTCCTGAAGTGTAGATTTATTTTCTTACTCTTCTTATATTTATTGTTTGTTTACTTGCACTGTTGTAACTGGAGCCTCGTCGTCTCGTCTCTCTATATACTGGACTGTATGTAGCGGAGATGACAATAAAGTTTACTTTGACTTCAGCAGCGAGCAGGCGCACCGAGGGCTCTCGCGCTCACTTTTCGTGTATAGAATTTCGAAAAAACATCGGTGCAAATTATAAATCTGTATCATAATATCTGGTGTTTTCGTGTTTGTTGGTTTGTTTTTATTTTGTTTTATTTTGCGAGTTGGTTAATAGATGCTGCTCCAGCCGGTCACAGAATCCCCCGCCCTCCCCTCTCTGCGCAACAAGCAGCAGGCGCACCTCGCAAACGAAGGGCGCCCTTACTCCCAGCAAATGGGCAATAGAAAACCGGTCGGTGCCTATGCCATTCCCAATATGCGCTGGCTGACGTCGGGGCAGCATGAGTACGAGCATTATTATTATTATTTTTTGCTGATGCCTGTGATGCCGCCCCCCACCACGATGCCGCCCCGGGCAACCACCCGTGTCGCTCGTATCTAAAACCGCTACTGGATGTTAGTACAGTGAAAACAACAAATCCCCTTGTTTATGTTCTTACCACAGAAATTTGGGTTCTTCCACTGCCCTGGTGTCCCGCCTGCATGAGCACACTGACGGGAGTACTCTGACATGGTCGCACACACACAAGACGTATCGTTGCTGACACAGGAGCACAGATCTTCCTTACAGGCGTTAATGAAGGACTCGGTTTCAATCAGGCCTTGACAACTGTCAAATGCACTTTCAGTCTTCAGTTTCTGGCAGAGATCTTCCTGTTGGTCAAAGATTATTATGCATTTTATATTATGCATTTAAATATATGTAAGATACTTCCAAGCAAAAATAATTTGACATACCGGAACTTCACATGACTCTTTGGCTTGAAAGGACGTGGTCTCACAATTGTCAGACAGACCACTGATTTTCCACTTGTCCCCATATTCTTCAATACAGTAAGAAGCCCCTGTATCTAATAGAAAATTATGTTTTAGCAAGTGTGATCACTGAATTGGATTGTAGTCTTCTTTAAGCTTTAGGATTTAGTTCTTACCTGAATTTGTGAACTCATTATTCAGTTCATTGAAGTCACCACACAGACCACAAGTTTGATTTCTGAATTTTGCATCCAGTTCAACCTTAAAACCATTTCAAAAATTAGATATGAATTAAATGCAGAAATAAAGATGAAATCTATAATTACTATTTGAATAATACAGGGCAGTGAGGAATACTCTGGTAAAGCTGTTTTTTTACCGGTGCTAAAGGTAATATTAATTAAAAAACTGAACATTTCTGTAGCAATACACAACACACACACACACACAGTGTGTTTAAATCATATAGCACACTTTGGTAGTTATTTGTTTAATGTAATATACAGTTTATTTACTATAATCTGCAGTATATGAGATTTTTTTGTATCAAGCACAAAATCCACATAGCTTTCTTTAGTAATTATAATCAGCATAATTTATTTATTATAGATTACTTCAGAAACATTAGTGACGTCAAACACAGTAGGTAAAAAACATACCCAGAGGGAGTCTTCTTGATTCCACATTAAGACCAATCCCAGCTTTGCCTGAACTTTAACATAGGATGCAATGCTTTCTACTGAAATGCCACCCCGACTGAAGGGTATTTCAGCACTATAAGGAATGAAAAAAAAAATCATCATAGTTAGATTAAATATTAATCGTCAATTAAACCAGTGCATCAGCTGTCAATGAAAAATCACATTTGTAAGACAGACTCACGGTTCATTGTTGATTTTGATGAATCCATTAGCTAATTCCACAACTTCACCATCCAGTTTCATTGTGACTTTCTTTATGGTGGTAACCTTATTGGACTCCTGTCGTTGGAGCTCAATGTTGAAACTGCTGTAGTCTGCCTTACACTGGGATGCAAAGATGTAGCTGCAAGTGGATGGAAGCCTGAACAAATTCCCATCAAATGTCTTAAAGTGGTAGTTTCCCCATGTGCTGCAGAACTGGTTGTTGTGAGATGGGCTCACTACTATTTTGAAAGAAAATAAGTCATTACACAAGTGTAATGGTTAATCATTTATTTATTCATTGCGTTATTTTGTCTCTGAAAAATAAATTACCTGTAATTACTGGAATTTTTCCAGTGTCCTGAACCGTGACTTAAAAAGAAGAAAAAGAAAATAACATTTATAACACCTACATATCGTCATTATGTCAGAAGACAAATATGACTTGTACTTGAGTTCTGTTCATCTTAATGTAACACAAAACAGAAGAAAAAAAAAGCTGAAATAATTAAAGTTTCATCTTTACACAGTCATGGATACCACTCTCTTTGTGTTACAATAGTCTACATACCAATGGTGGCTGCTGATAGGCCAAGGCAAAGGCTGAGCCATGGTATCACCCATTCTAGCTGCATGCTGACTGACCTCATGGCTTTGAGCAATCCCTGTCCAGAGAGAGGGAAAGGTGCACCAACTGATACCTCACTGAAAGGGCCGTGTAATATAGTTCATTTGATGTTTGCAGTTTAGGAGGAGCAAAAGATGCATCCGGGGTGTTCACCTTTTTGTCTACATTAAAATCACACCCATGAAGTGTCTTATCACAACATTTCATCTTCATCTGTTTGAGTCATGATATATTTTGTCACTCCCTCTCTCATGCTCCATACCTCAGTTTTAATGCTAATCTTGGATAAACATCAACATTATAAAGAAAAATATTTTAAACTGAATTGCCATACAGTTTGTTTGTTTTTATTATGGAACACTTTCAGGACAGATTTTCATGAGAACGACACATTGTCAAACAAGGATTGCATGCTTTTCTCACGTCATTGTCAGAAAGACCAGCCCAGAGAATTTGAACTGTGGGTTGGCCTCCGTATCTTTCACTGACATAAGTAAATTTGCTGATGTAAAATACATATATGAATTTGAGTAAACATTTGTCAAAGATGTGTAGATGTGAAAGGGTTTACACACTAAGACTGTCTGCTTTGTCTTACCAGGTAACTTTATTCACATTTAAGTTAAGATTTAACTACATGATGGGATGTATATGTAATCAGCATAAGTAGCTTTGGATTAACATACATCAAATGCTCAAAAAGTGAGATGATGAGACAGATGTAATTCTGAGGCTTTGCCAATATTTTTACATTGCCAAATATCATCAGTTATCATGATAACGGCACTATTTTCTGTGTAGTTTACTCAACAAGTGTAACATTTGGTTTAATGTCTCACAGCCCCAAGAGGATAGATCCTACTAACTTTAGTTACATTTTAACTTCCCCAGATGTAACTATAACAATTTAATGGTACTGTTTTAAAACAGTCTTATTAGGACTCAACTTTGTGCAAGTAATTAAATTTTAGCTTGCTGACACATTAAACTAAGATAGTGAACTTTAAATAACCTTATTATACCTTTGAAACAAGATGGAGTTAACATAACCACTATGCACTAGCATGTAAGTTGTGCTCTTTGTATATGCTCATGTCAGTTAGGCATTTACAGTGTTTCTGTGAAGCAGAAAAATAAACCTCACATATAGGAACTTCAGAAATAGTTGTAGTTTTAAATTAGTCAGTTAGTTTTTTTACATGTTGTTTTGAGTGTAATAAAAATGTTGAGATAGAACCTTTGGTATAGCAAAAAGGAATTGCTTTTAATAGTTATAAATATAAAGGTAAAACCTAATTAATACATAAAACACAATTACCTAGCAGTGTGTGTATATAAAATAGAATCTTCTCGATAGATGCAATGTTTCTAGTAAAGATATCTAAACAATGATACTAGCACTTCTGTCTTAACAGGCAAACGAAGGAACCTTGATGATGAAAACATGGGGGACTGAAAAGTGCAGCCAGAGTGGAAGTGCCCTTAAGTCCACATTCTATTTAATGGCCACTAAGGGGGCAATAACTGTGGCTGAAAAATGATTGTAGGTTTTATAAACATTTATTGGAAAATGGCTCTCAGTCCTGACTACTATAAAACATTCCTAATGTGTTTATGGGTTTGGTCATTTATTTTGGGTCATATTGAATATTGTAGGTAAATTATAGTGATATTTAAGGTATCAAAAAGTATCATAAGTGGAGACATGACAAAAAATCTTTACAGGACAAAATGATAACAATGGTAAATGAAATTCATTGATACCTTGGTGGCTGGATTACCATCACATTAAAAAGTTAAGGTTATTCAAGTATTCTCTTAATTTTGTTACACAGTCGTTTGCATGTGTATTGTGTGTGTGTGTATATGTATATATATTACCAAATTTTACAATACACATGGAGCCTGTCAAAAAATGTATAATTTTTCCCTACCAAATTTACGTTTTTTTGGGGGGTTTTTTTGTAATACAAAGCAATATACTTCTCCATGTTGAAAATATTACAGGGTAATTTGTTCTCTTTGCAGTAGCATATTTAAAGGAAACCATGCAAAACTGGGAGATAGATAAATAAAGGAGTTTTATCATTAAACTTAGCAAAACAATTCCAATTTCTGTCATACATGGTTAAGTGGCATATACAAGACATTGAAAACAATGACACATGAACTGAGTTGCATCCTTTTTATTAAATCAATGTTCACAAATGCTCTCCTTATATTGGCATTTATTTTGTAGACATTTAATGATTGCTTTAATAATATGGGAGGAAACGTGTTCCTCATACACAGACTGGCTTATCACAGCAGTGTAAAGCTTCGCTTCCTGCGAATATGTTGTCCAGCAGCTGCGGTGCATTCTGTGTTGGTACAACCACACTCCTCCACATACATGTATGTGTAGGGGACCGTGTCTCCATTTGGGCAGACCAGGTCTAGAGTGCGATTGCTGAAGCATGTCTCCTTACAGCAGGAGCAAGAATGCTGCATAACTGCTGCTTCTTTAGAGTACCTGAATATAGAAGAGGATGGGTTTAATCAATACTGAAATTATATAATAGTATTTTTTAAAACGTTTCAGAGGAAAGTATTTTTAAGATTATCCTTACATGGTATAAGTGTTGCAGGATCCTTCACAATATGGCATATCTACCTCCTGGGCAGACGTACAGTTGTTGTGTGTAATATTGGTTTTCATGGACATGAACTTGCATGCCTTCTCCTTCTCCGCACCTTTTCAAAAAAGATGCACAGTTAGCCTATTTTAATTTAAGTATCTTAACCTAAAACAAACTCAAATGTTATACTCACAAATTTTACAACAGCCGTTTGCTGCAGTTTGAATTGTCCCCTAAGAAAGAAAATATACAACAACGACTAAATACAAGAAAATATACAGCAACAAAAGTTGTTCAACTTCTGTTCACTCAGATGAATGCGAACAAGATGAATAATGAGAAAATGGATACTTACAGGTTGACAGCTGCTCTCATTGAATACTGGGCAGACTGTGTGTGAAGTGCTTGTTGTTAAAATCTCACCATTCTTAACACAGGTATAATTATTACACCTATTCTCAGTTGGTGACCAGGTTTCTCCTTGCTGAAGATAATTGAGAGAGATATATATGTACACATACATATTTTTTTAAACATAAATAAACATAAGCATGTGGCCTTGCAGCCAACTTACAGACAAGAGTTGCTTGGCTCCGTTAATATTGACAACACAGTGTGTCTGCACACACTTCCCGCAGCACTCATCTGAATCAGTTTTTACATATTTATATCCCTGAAAGACAAAGAGAGGGGGCACTTTTTGGTTGCCAAGTGCAATATCTACACTACACTGATATTGTTTAAACTGGGTGTTTCTTACCGTGTCACAAGTTTCGTTACATTCCTGATCCTTACAGCTTATTACAGTAGAATTTTGTTCAGCCTCACAGGTACACTCCTTACATACAGACCCAGGAACTGAAGAACCAGGCTAGCAGATAAACAGAAAATAGCCATACAGAATTATGTGCAGCAGAAGTCCTTAAAGGTAAAAAAGGTGACCAATCATTTGCTTCTTATTTACCTGGTATTCAGTCTCATTGCGAACACAAACCTTTTTAGGTTCTAGGAAAAAGAAAAAAATGACCAAAGATAAGTGAAAGTGCTAATGTTGTCATTAGGTTATGCACCAATTTAAACTGCAGTCTTTAGTTTACCGCATCTAAGTTCTGGACAGCATTTTCCCTTAGGAATACTGACAACTGGCTTTTTTCCAATTGAACAGGTCACATCTATGTCTGGGCAACCGCCAGGTTTACACTCTGTGGAGATGATAAAACATTTATTCAGAGTCAAGAATTAACATCAGCCAACAGTCATCTAAACACATTAAACACATGATTGCCTTGATGCTACAAGTCTTACGGCAAACAGGGGTAGAACAGCAGGGATCTGATGGATCAGTTTGGTTGATGAGGACAAATCCATCATCAGCGCATTCTGTTATGTTTGGTTTTGGGCACTCCTTAGGTTTGCAAGTCACAGTCTTTGTGGATTCTTCTCAGGTGCACTTCTGGCATTTGAGCTCAAATCTTTCATTGAACTGAAAGTCATATAGAAAGTAATATATAATACTGTGGTTTCATGTAATATGTCACATTTGTCTCTTGCAGCTAAGTAAAGGTTAGGATTTTAACTGAACATGAAATTAAGACTTTGCTCACCTCACGAGAATTACCCTCAGGATCAAGACATCCTGTTGAAACAAAATGATTTAATCTTAATTGTAATTAATTCCAAACATAATCATTCATTCACTGCATGCAGTAAAGCGATTTCTTATATTACAAGTCACTTAGAATTTCCTCCACACGTATAGATCCACACATATAGATCACAAGCATCACAATGTGTATTCACTGAAATGATACAACCCGGGCAATTATACCAAACTTACCACATGTTTTCACACATATGTTGGACTGTCTGCTGAAAAGTTTCATTCCATCAGGACAAAAACAGCCCTCAGCAGTAAAGTTCATGGTGGGTTCGTAAGAGCTAAAATATTCAGACAGTGAGAAAAAGCATTAGCCCTTTTGACTATAATGGATTTTCAAGGCAAATATCACAAACTGTTTTCCATTGCTGGGAGGACCAAAACAAAAAACAAAAAACCACATGGCAGGGCTCCAGTTTGATCTATTAGTTGCACCAGAAAAAATGTGACCAACAATCAGGCAATTCTAAATTTGGCAAATCTGAACACTAGAATTTCACCAGCTTAAAAAAATAGAATAAATAACTCATACTGTGACCCCTCCCAGTTGTACCAGAACTGAACATGTGCAAGTGATATCTGCATGTTTTTGCATATCTTTAAAGTTGTCCGATCCTTCATGATAGTTAACAGGTCTGACAGCAGTTTAGGATAGCCTATCGGGTGTTTTTTTCTCTGCATTTGTTTTTCACTGCAAGTGTAAAGTATTTACTAAAATATTTATACACTAAATTGCAACATTGTATGTGAAACCTCACTGTCACAGCAACTATAGAATTTGTACACCTTTGAAAATCTATAAATACAATATAGAGGCATGAGCAGTTTTACTGGTTGATTTGAGCCCCACATAATAAAGGTTCTTCTTTTTGTTTATTATCCTT